TGAAGTTATGAGTGCATTTCAGACTTTGCCGATGCGCTCATCGTGATTTTTGAGGCATTATCTATAAGAAACAACTCTTATTTTTGCTCTAGCAAAAGTTTGCAACAGGCCCGTTGTGTCTGCAGCAATTGTCGTTCTGAATATGTTGCTGATTGTAGCTCACTATACGGCGAAAAATTCCTCGTGCGTGGGACCCGAAGTTTAGGTCATATGGATCTCTGAAATTTTCAGATTGAGCATCTGAACACTGAAGGTCTAGCTGTCGAGGTTTGGATCACACATCTGAAATTTCAGTTCTTACATCTGAAGTACTTTAGATGTGAGAACCGAAGTTTTTCGGATGTGAGAACCGAAGTTTTTCGGATGTGAGAATCGAAGTTTTTCGGATGTGAAAACCGAAGTGCTTCAAATGTAAGAACTGAAGTTTCAGATGTGTGATCCAATCCTCAGCAGCTGGACCATAAGTGTTCGGATGCTCAATCCGAAAACTTCAGAGATCCATATGACCTAAACTTTGGGTCCCACGCACGAAGTTTTTTCATCCGTGTACATACTCGACAACGTTCTTCAGACTTTAAAAATCCGTTTTTCTGCTTGTCATTATGGAACAAGATGCATCTTTACCTAAGCAACAGTGCTTATACATGTTTGGAAAAGCAACAAATAATAAAATATAAATTAAGGTATGAAGTAATAAATTACAAACCATTATGTTGCCATTTTATTCTTCTAAGGGTAATAAAAAGAATAAAATGGCAACATAATGGTTTGTAATTTATTACTTCATACCTTAATTTATAAGCAACAGTGAACCACCAAAAGCTCAACCATCGACTTGTTGGCGCTTTTGAAGAATGATTACAACTTCAAACACTCTCTGCGCTAATTTTTGCAACTTCCGACAGCCTAATCATTCAAATTTGCCAGGCGCAGCTAAAAGAGTGATTATCGGTCACCAAACAACATTCCTGATGGTTTCAAAGCCAAATCAACCCATTTGCTCAAAATACGATACAGATACGAGGTTTTAATGGACAGAGTTAAGTTAGTGAGTCGTCTGGGAGTTCTGCCGTGATAGCGAAGAGAGCCGTAAAGTGCAAAAATGAAGTTTTGAGAAAGCAGGCTCAGAAGCTTCTGACAAGAACATTTTATTGAAGGAAGCCTCCGTTCTTTGTCAAATTGCCACTAATCGTCCGGAAGACTCCTAGAAATCGTATGGATGATTAAAAATCGACTAATTTTATATTTCCATTACATAAAAGGGCCTATTCATTTTCATGATAGGTTATTGTTAGGCAAGACAGCCGTAAGTGCTATCTTCTGCATGCTTTCGTGGTTGCGTTTTGGACGCACAACAAACACATTTTCAGGTTAGAAATTGGCAGAAGAGGGCGGCACCTTACTAGAAAGCACTGTTTTCATTGTCTCATGCACCTGCGGCTGTCTTGAAAAAAATCTATGTTATTTTTTGTGCACTTACGGCTTTCTCATACGTCTTGTTTTCATTAAATTAGGATGAATTTTGCTGTTTTAGCTGTCTCAGTAATTTCATCTAAAAGTGTTTAGACGAATTTTGAAGAAAACTCGATTTCGAAAATTTTGCACTTACGGCTCTCTTCGCTATCACGGCAGAGTTTTTGATGAATATTTATTTCCCAAGAAAAACAAAAGTATCAATGGTTATCATAACTCCCGTAAGCGATGTCAGCCTACTGCTCTAAGGGAGCATTGGGCACCATAACGAGTGATGTATTTCTTGCGATTTTTCCATTGCCGACTTCTAACAATTTTCTCTTTTTATTATATTTAAGAGATGTCGAGCTTTGCTCATTAGGTTACATTTAAGACACCCTACGTTAATTTTGAAGCGGTAGATTGAGCAACTTTTTCGATCAAAAAATAAATTCATCTGATTCCTGTGGTCATATCTATATTGTACTTTTGCCCTTGTCCTTTAAAAATGCTACTTCTCCTTTTTACCTTCTACATCCATTCTTCTTCTTCATTTCTTTCCCCCCATCTTCCCCTCTCTCCTGGTTCCGGCAATGTATCGATTATTCTTTTTTCCCCTTGTATCAGGATTAAATTGAGACAAGTCGGAATTCAATTTTCGAGAACCGCATAAAAGAAGTGAACTGTCAACAAGTCAATCCGATTGCATCTATTACGTAGTTATTTTAAATTACAGTCGCTCATTTCAATTCGTTTGCAAAGAATAAGTCGTCCAGAACGTCTCCGTCGAAGTATTGTGCAACAATACGATCAGCTTCGGTGCCTACGCGGTCAGTGCAGCGCCGGTTGCCTCAAAGAATTTGAAGGCGTTTCACGTAGCCTCAGTGTGTTCTCTGATTTGAGCTGTTACGTCGAATGCCAATAGTTAAAATAATCATTTCTATACTGTTGCAAATTAATGAGGTAAGTATATTTAATACTCATGAATCAGTAACACGTAAGATTCATTTGTATCTTGAACAATTCAAAGTTCAATGAAAGGACAAATTGAGAGGTCTTGGTCAAAAATACGCAAAACCTCGCTCATATTTGCAAAATTTGACCGACTGGCTGGTCATTCGAAAAATGACTAATTTTATCATTATCTTTTAACATAAAACAATGAAAGTATTTTTCATGTTGGGACATCTCAAAACGAAAATAGGAAAAAAAAGAATCTGACTTAAATTTTAAGTAACGTATAATCTCACAGTGCTGTAACAGATATATGCGGGTTTCTTTCCCAAAACTTTCTCTAGTTATAAATGTCCTCTGCTATTGCTCTTATATCACATGTTTTATATTTGCCTACTTATCTGGAGATAATTCATAAATACAAAGCATTTTGTTTATCCATGGAAGCCTTCTAATTTTTCCGGTCCACCTTCAAACACAAAACTAGGCTGTCCATGGCACGGAAAAGATGATCTTCGATTACAAAGTGTTTCAATTTGCAAAAATCGGTTCAAATCTGAAAATATTGTACAATGATAAGAAAATGACTTTGAAATTATTCGCTCTAAAGTTATATCAAAATTATTATTTCTTAATATTTAACATTTAAATTGAGCTTTACTGTGAGAATAACAATAATTTAATTACTAAGAGCTAAATTATACAAGGAAACTAGATCAAATATTTACCAAAACATGTAACAAAGTATGAAGATAATCAACGAAGGGTTTCATAACTTTTCATATGGTTAAAAGCACGAAAGCTCGCGTAAATATTTGGCTTAATTATAAAATATGAGCACAAAGGAATCATAATCCTCGGAATTTTGAAGGCTTACAGGATCTATATTAAAAACGCCATATTTATTAGGAACTTGATTACCTATCTGATGCAGCCGTTAGAGACTCATCATTTTACGATGAAAAATTCCATCACAGCATTTGAAGGCACACACAGGATTGCATTCCATGGTGAAACCATTAACAATTTAACTAATTATTCAAATTAAACAATCACTAATAATCGAGTGAAGAACAAAATATGACACAATTTGCTCTCACTTGTTCTTCTTCTCTCAGCTGGTCTTGGAGCTTTGCAAGGACCCTTTTTGGTCCTGTGATTAATATTAAGTTGATATGTAGGTCAGTATTTGTCGCACTCCTAAATCGTCCAGCCCACCAACAAACTAGAGCCCACAAACAGGCACATCGGTGCAGTTGTTGACTGCTGCCTTTCAAAGATCCTCGGGTCGACGATCTTTGAAGGTAGCCGATGTGTTTTAGACACATCACAGATCAGATCTTGAAATTTTCAAGGAATTTCGTGCATAAATGGCTGAGGAATTGAAGAATTAATGCCAGTTTGAGCGCCTCAGTTTGACAGTGGGCTGGACGCTTAAGGGCGACTTTTCACTGCGACAAATCTCGGGAAAACGTCCCGAGAAGACCGACGAACATTGATGCGTAGCTGAAGGTTCCGCGAATTGTTGCTCGTGTGAAAAAGGCCTGAAGGAGTGTCTTTGAAAATATCCTTACTGCCGCGTAGCGAGACAAAGAGAGACTCTCATCTAACCTCTTAGCAACAGGTGGACATTTTTATTTTCAAGGATTCAACACTTTCTTCAAGACGATTACAAGGGAGCAACAGTAATCAAACTTTTTTCGACTGTTGAGTCGTCGGGTGACGTAATGAGCTGAACAAGTTTACCATCCTCCGGTTTGTTTACAAAATTAAATGATCATCACATCGTTAAACATCCACCTGGCAGCTAGGTCAACAACTGAATTTTTGAGTCCCGAAAGTAAAAACTTTCCATCATTGCCAACACCAAAAAAGTAATGCTGATTTAACAGTCTCGATGTAAAAAAGTGTGCAAGAACTCACGAAACGCTGGAATAACCGCCGCAGCCGTTAGTTTTACATCTTGATATCGCTAAATTAACACTTTTTTACATCCAGAATGTTAAATGAAGCAGTGAGAACGAAAACACACCAACTCGGTAACTCAAAAATACTCAAACTTCATCAAAGAGAGTCATTTTTCATAAAGATCATTGAAGAAAACGCATCTTTCCAACTTGGTCCTTTAATGCGTCCTTAAATACTTGTCTTTCGGCACCACAAATCCTTCCCTTCTGCTAACTTCCTCAACTACTGTGCAGTTTCGCGTGTGTCTCGATCATTTTCATTTTTCGAGTTGGTGTGTTTTCGTTCTCACTGATTCAAATCAGCATCACCTTTTTTTTCGGCGAACAGAGGGTCTCTCTTTGCCCCTGCGGCCAAGTGACCCTAGAGTCCCTTTATACTGAGAGTCGAGACAATGTTAATCCATTTCTGATTGTATCCCGTATTTTAGGCCTTCGCAGTGTCACAAACGGGAATAAAGATTACATTTTCACCGATTGCAAAGATTATAATCTGGAATAGACCAGGGAATCACGGGTTCGGCAAGAAACAAACGGAATGAGAGAAGGAACGGAGAAAGGAGTTTGAGAATGGGCCGATCAAAGATTACGATAAACGTTCAATTTCTGTAATCTTTATTCCCGTTTGTGACTCCATGAGGGGTGTTGTCTTGACTCTAAGTGACCCCTCAATAGTAATGGATCTGATGGGAGTAAGCGTAGTTGCTCCTCGGCCTCCTGGTCTGGAACTTGGACGTCTTGATCTTGGACTCCTCTTCGTCGGGGCCGTAGTCGGTGTAAACCTCCCGGGTGCGGCTCTCGTCCTCGGGCTTGAAGTGCTGGTCGTCGTGGTACTTGGTCGTCTGGTAATCCGACTCGATCTGATTCCGGATGGCGTCGTCCTCCTCCTCGCTCCCGCCGTACTCCTCCTGGGACCCCGCGCCCCCCGCCCCGCCGCCGCCCGTCGGCCGCTCCGGCGCCTCCTCCTCCGACTCCTGCACCTGGTAGTCGGCCGTCGGGGTCTTCGCCTCCAGGAGCGGCGCCCGCGCGTAGTCCGTGTAGAAGTGCTGCTTCGCGTAGACCGAGGGCTCCACGAACTTGTAGGGGCTCTTCAGGGGGAGCGCCGACGGGAACCGCGGGAAGTAGACCGGGTACGTCGAGAACCCTTTCGGCACCTGGAGAGTCAAAAGAAGTAACCGAGATTTTGTGTTAATATGGCGTTGGCGGATCCAGTGAATGGAGATGTTGCATGTGTGAGGGATTTGCGATTTGACTATTGATTCTTATGTAAAAGTTCGCGAGAAGCACGATGGTGCTACTGGTTTTCTCTGAAATTATCTCCAAAGCTCAACAAAAGCTCTCGAAGTGAGGCCAATACGGAGGGGATATCCCACCCTACCCTGAGAGTCCACCTCTACATCAAAACAATCTCTCCTTGCAAAGATAGGGAGCAAATACATTAGCAGGGTTGCCGTGTTTTCAGTTTTGGAGTCCCCAAATAAAAAACAGCCCTGTCAATGTATTTGCTCCCTATCTTTGCACGGAGAGATCGTTTTGATGTAGAGGTGGACTCTCAGGGTAGGGTGGGATATCCCCTCCATTTTGGCCTCACTTTGAGAGCTTTTCTTGAGCTTGGGAGACGATTTCAGAGAAAACCAGTGGCACCATTGTGTTTCTCGCGAACTTTTACATAAGAATCAATTGTCAAATTCTTTAAAAAAATTATTTAAAAAAACACAAAGATAAAACACACTCACTTGCGTAAAATTGTATAAAATAACCGGGACGCGTTTCGGGAGCTTAGCTCCCATCCTCAGCCGCGACNTTTTTTAAAGAATTTCAACTTGTGTAGTTCCCTAATGGTATTAAAAGTGAAATTGTCAAATTGCAAATTCCTTACTCATGCAACATCTCCATTGGCAACATTGTCTTTTCTCCATTGAAACCTATGGAAATGTATCGATTCTTGGGGGAACAGGTGCTTCGACAAGAACATCTGTTCTTGTCGAAGCATCTGGCACCTATGCCAAATAATCGTATTTGGCATAGGTTTAATGGAGGAAATCCTGTGTTAACCGAGATTTTATGTTAATATGACATTGGCGGATTCGGTAAATTGGCAACATTGTCTTTTCTCCATCGAAACCTATGAAAATGTATTGATTCTTGGGGGCACCAAGTGCTTCGACAAGAATCGATTATGTGGCATAGGTTTAAATGGAGGAAGTCCTGTGTTGCTCAATTGTTGGATCCGCCTCTGTAATATGAAAAATAGAACACAAAGGCCCACTAAGTAGTAAGCACCTGAACTACTTAAGATCTTAAGTGCGAAACCACGTATCCCCATTTCAAAATTTAAAAATTTCACTCTTATTTTACTTTTTCGGTGAGAAACAAGCCAAATTTATACCTTCTCATTTATTCAGAATGTTGAGGCCAAAATGGAGGGGATATCCCACGCTATCCTGAGAGTCCACCTCTTCATAAAAAAAAAACTCTCCATGGAAAGATAGGGAGCAAATACATTAGCAAGGTTGCCGTGTTTTCAGTTTTTGAGTCCCCAAATAAAGTGGCAGCCCTGTCAATATATTTGCTCCCTATCTTTGCATGGAAAGTTTGTCTTGATGTATAGAGGTGGACTCTCAGCTTAGCGTGGGATATCCCCTCCATTTTGGCCCCAACTTGAAAGCTTTTTTTGAGCTTGGGAGATGATTTCAGAGAAAACCAGTGGCACCATCGTGTTTCTCGCGAATTTTCACATAAGTTTTCAAGTTTAAGTCACATAAGTTAGTCAAATCGCAAATCCCTCACACATGCAACATTTACATTCTATCATAGCGAAAGTATTATCATGGCGAATACCTTGATCTGCGGGTAGTTGTAATCATAGTGATACAGGGGGTTGATGCGATAGCGCCCGTCGAGATAGGGGACACTCGTGACACACCCGACCTGCTTCTTGGGCGACTTGTACTTCTGCGTGCTCCTCAAGAGCTTGGCGGCCTCCTTGTGGCTCAGCGGGCGGACCTGGATCGTCGGGTAGGCGTGCTTCTGCTTCTGCTTGAGCGGGGCGGCGCAGGGGGCGCAGAGGGGCGCCGACGGGGGCGCCACGTGCCGGTGCTGGTGCCGGTGGACCGTCACAGAGGTCGGCGGGGGCTGCCGGGTGAGTCGCAAGGGTGGCAGGCCGTTGCGCACGAAGATCGTCACCCCCTTTGACCGGGGTCGGTAGTGGGGACTCACCGGGCGGAATGTCACCACGCTCCGCGGGTAGATCGTGTAGAAGGGAGTCAGCCGCACGCTGGCTGATACTCCCGTGGATGGCGCTCGGAGGAGAGGGCCTTGCGGCACGAATTTCGTGACCTGCACCAAGGGAAATGTATATCATGTAAAATTTATTCCAGAATCAAATACCAACATTATAGATCTTTTTGAGAAGAAAGTGAGAAAAGATATTCTTGAAATATTTTAGAGAAGGGAGGCCGCCTCCCTCTTGCCCTATATATGCGTCGCCATTTTAAGAGGGCGCTAAGGGTGGTGGAGTACGGCGATCCCGCAGCCTTAAAGTCTCACTCTTGTGCTTCTAAAACTCCACGCAGGCGAATAGGGATAATAAGGATGAAAAGGGCACCAGATCCAGGGTGGCATGAAACGTAAGAAAAAAATGAAAGATTGGATATTTCAGCAAAATATTTCATGAGGCTGTGAAATATATTTTCCAGGGGCTAGAGTATTCAACCCGCACTCAAACACTCAAAACTAGAGGGAAGGCACAATTTTTACATTTTGCGAGACATGAAAAAGAACCGGTATTTTTTAGTATCTTGCATAAATTTCTGAAATGTCATGAAATATTTCACGTGAAATTTCAAGATTTTATTTTTCATGAAATTTTGCCACTCTGCACTAGATATTGCGCGGACGAAAATGGATTGCTGTTTTAACAGTTAAATTGTTAAAATATACGTCGGACATATTTCAAACGTACATTTTACGGTAGTGGAAAGCTAATTTAACCTAGCATTATTCCACTGTAAAATCTACATTGAAACATGTCGGTCACGGGAAGGGGGAGGGGGAGATAATAGCGGGTAGAGGAGGAAATCAAAATTTCTTAATAAGTGCATTAATTGGAATCTTCATAATTACCTGTTCCAAAGACGGAATCTCGGAGGGTTTGAGTTCCTCTTGCGGGTTGGCGGGGTAGGTGTTTTTGATGCTGAATTCATGGTGACGGACGGTGTTCTCGACGTAGGCCGGCGGTTTTTTCTTCTTTTTGGGGTGCTTCGCGTAGTCTATCTCTTCGACGATCGGGGTCCTGTACACCTCCTTGATGGTTTTTATTTTCTGCGCCGGGTACGTGGGCTCTCTCTCGTCCTCCACCTCTTCCAGGGATTCTCCCTGCTCAGGGTTCCCCTCTGTTTCCTCTGCGTCCTCCGGGTCCGCGTATTTGTGCTCGAAGCTCCCGCTCTCAAAGTTCTCTCCTACCTTTAATTTCACAGCTCACAATCAGTTTAATTTTAATCAGTGGCGTGGCGTGAATAATCGATTATCGATATCTCGCCATTTGAAGCTATGGTAAAGAATCGATTACTAAGATGTTCGCTGCGAACACCCTGATAATCGATATTTTTTCATAGGTTTAAATGGCATAACAATCGATATATCGCAATTCACGCCACGCCACTGATTTTAATTTGGCACTGATTAGCAATTTGAATCTTTTCCCTTTTTTTAATGAATACTAATTTTGATCAACCACGGGAAAAATAACCTTCGTCTCGAATTGATCAGAGATGAATTGGACTGCATTTTGCAGTTCGGAACTATAAAGTCTGGCCTTGTTTAAAAACAACATATGTGCCATTAGTTTCCCTATGCACATAAGTGTTTTTTCAGATGAGCCAGAATTTATAGTTCCAAATTGCAAAATGCAGTCCAATTATTGATACCGAAGAATAGATGAGTCATTTTTGAACATTTTATGACGAAAAACGACCAGAAATGTCAGACAAAACGGAAGTTATGGTAGTTAGGAACTTGCGAGCAGTAAAAGTCTACGTTCCGAGAGTAAGATCTTCATTGCTCAACTTTAAATCCATCGTGCTTAGGGCACGGAATTATCGGACTATGATGATACTTTATGGCCTATATTGGCATAAAAATGATTAAAACTACTGGTAACTTGTGTTTAGAACACGAGAGGTAATTTTCTGCCGAAATATCAAATCCGATATTTTCCTCAACTTAACCAAATTCAACATTTTTATTGTCTTTTAAAATAACAAGACTCCATTTGACATATAGCACAGCCTTGCTGAGCCTTCGTAGGTGGACAGCCTCTATAAACATTCATTATGAATATACTTATCTGTTGCATTTTAATAAATTCTTATACATTTTATTCCACCTTTCTTAATTCATTTTTAAAAACATCTATTGTAATATGCTGAAAGGAAGGGGGTGAAAACTTCATACATCATACCTCGTTGTAGAAGTTCGGAACCTTAAGGGACGCTTCCTCCTTGGCTATTTCTTTGTGCTGCATGTTCATAGGGTTGGGTCTCCTCTTCGACGAGACCATTGGGGGGATTTTTTTCATCTGGAAAGGGTTAATATCTATAGGGACGGGTTGCGGGGCGTAGCCCCACGAATATCCACCATTATTTTGTGGCTGATAATGGTAAGTCATCGGTCCTTGATTTGATGGGTACACGTATCTGACGTTCTCTGGAAAAGAGAGTGTAACAATATTAGTCTACGAAAAAGTCATGATTTAATCCAATGATTATTTTTAAAAAAAAGAACTCACTGAAAAATGGCGGATATTTCAAATTTAGCAAAAAATTGAACGAATAAGCGCGACAGAGCTTAGGGGAGAATTTAATGAGCCACATAACGCCGACCCACCGTTCATTATTACACTTCATCTAGCGTTGAGAGTGTTCACCACTCGCCCGCCGTGAACGCCAAGGAGTGCTGTCGGCTGTCGGCGCGAAACGCGCACTGACGCCTACAAACCTAACGGGCTACTTCACGCATTGCGCAATGCTCGAAGTATCCCCTTAGGTTTGTAGGCGTCAGTGCGCGTTTCGAGCTGGCAGCACGCCGCGCCGTGCCGCAGCATGCCATAAACTCGCCCACACTAAATAGATCAGAATGTTAAAATGTAGGCAATTTGACATAAAATTCGAAATTAGGTACTCAAAAAACATCAGTTACGAAACTTTCGTGATCCTTCAGTCATTTAACGACTTATTTCTTCCTATTCTTGCGTTTTGGGTCATAGGGAGCCCTTGAAATTCTCCCCTGTGCTTAATCGAACAAAGCGGGAAATGTTGAATCTTGGTCTGTCGTTAGGGTAAAGTGAGTGAATCGAAGGAACGTTCCTTTCCTACAGACTACGATCCAAAAGCGACGGAACCCTCTTCTCTGTTCGTTCCGTTTCGTTTAAGTCTTAGCGTGAAGTTTGAAATAAATGCTGATTTTTACCATACGATTTTTATTGGTCCAATTGCTCTCGGTCATGGGGAGATTGGACAGATGAGAGTCAGGTATGAATATCTTTTCTTTTTTTTGGTCGTTCTTTTGTCGAAGCGGGCCTAAGAAAACGCGAAGCGCCCTCTGGGGGATGAACCGCCACGCGGCCCATCCCCCAGAATTTAAGTCTTGGCGTGAAGTTTGAAATAAACATAGGCTAGTTTATTTATACGATTCTTATTGGTCCAATCGCTCCCAGCCATTGGGAGATTGGACAACTGGGAGTTGGGTATGAAAATCTTTTCATTTTTTTGGGTCCTCTGAGGGCTGGGCCGGGTAGCGGCCAGGGGGCATAGCCCCCTACTAATTTATATGAAGCTTGATAAGATAATCGATCATGTCTAACACATAAGTCAATTTTAAAAAAAGATCCCCGAGTCCAAATCAGTTTGTAGCACAAACACGGGTGAAAATTCGTCGTTCCTCAGACGAAGGAACGCAACTCCATTCTAAGGTTGCCAAATTGACTCAAACAATTTAATTTTTACAAGAATACATCCGTGAACTTTTTGTCCAAAATTTTCCTTATTTTTGCCTGAGATCAGACGAATAATCGGTGAAATTTCAGTTGAAAAATACCAAGATGCTTCTGTTAATTGGACGTATTTATACGAAAGGGAACTAAGCGCCAAATTTCCAAATTTCAGTTTTTAACGGATCTGGATTCTCCATGTAATAGGCTGCTCTCACACGTAAATATGCCCCCAAAATACTAATTTCATCCCCTGGAATCAGCCCCTGAAAAATCGCAAAACAGGGAATCAGCGATTACGAATAAAATCAAAAGGAACTATATGTAATTCCCTTTGATTTAATGCGCTAACCCGGATTCCGAATTAAATCAAAAGGCGCTATCTCCACTTGA